CCCCAAAACCCCAAAACCCCAAAACCCCAAAACCCCAATTAGGAAGAAGAGGATTGGCTCATTTCAAATCTGATAATTATAAATGGTTAGTTTGCTAATTCAGTGATCTTTTGGATCCTCTTTTGCTTCAGCTCATCAAGCTCGTTGAAAGCTTCTGTAATTGGTCCGCTTAGCTTATCATCTGCAGAGAGACCCTTGAGGACTCCTCCGAATTTCTTCATTGTGTTCTCTTCCATGCAATCACTTCTTCAGATCTCTCCAAGAAGGATAACAAATTGTTTAATGTTCTCATGCTCTTTTCCAGTAATCAGGTTAGGGTTGCTAGTAGCAGCATCAGCCAAGAAGTCATTAACAAGTTTGGCCTCGGTGAGATCATGCTTCAATGGAATGTGCTGGAGCAAGAATTCGAATGTGCTATTGACATCGATTCATTCATGCTGGAACTTCATTATTTTTGAAAGAGCTGAGATAGCATTATCCCTAGCATGGTTGAATTCTACAACATCTTGAGTTCCGACTTTCATTTCAATAGCTTCCTTTAGTGATTGGAGAGCATCAGTTGAGTATTTAGCGAATAGTTCTCCACCTGAGTTGGAAGAAATACCGAGTCCGTAAACACCAGCCTGTCTAATAACTGGGTTGACAGATTTCGAGCACTTGGCAATTACTTGGAAACAGTCTTCGTATTTCTCGCCTAGAATCTCAAGCCCGAGATGTTCTACAAGATCAACGACGATGTAGACTCCAAACTTCTGCTTGACAAATGGAGCACTCTCATCAAGATAGGATGGAAGGAGGTCATTAAAGAGGGTATTCAAAAGATTTGCACATTTGTTCTTATGGGTTTTGAAGAGAGCTCCAAAAGCTTCAGATAGAGTCAATTGGAGATCATCTTCAATCTCATTTTCTTCTTCCATGAACATCCTGTTCTGCTTATCAACTTCGTCATCTCCTTGTTCGTTCTCTTCGTTATAGGCAACATTGATGTTCTTCCTGTGGTCTGATTTTGAGATGCATTCGAAGAAAATGTTACACATTTGGTTAACTTGATCTTCATCGAGGAACTCTCCCATTATGTCAATGCAGCGCTTGATTCCGCTAACCTGATGTTGCATTACTGTGGTGTCCTCTTCACCTTTCATTGTTTCGAAGAGAGCTGAGATGTAACTCTGAGCAAAAGGAAGAGCCCCTTCTAATCCCTTTTCGCATTCTTTAATAGCAGTGAGCATTGTTGGCAAGGAATCAGCAGTGCTTGATCTGATTGAGGTGTTGTATTTGAACTTCAGAAGAGAAAGGAATAGCTCTGAAGTCTTCTCTACATATGGGGCATAAAGCTCCTTGAGCTCATCAATAAACACACAAAGCATTTGGATTCCAATATTCTTTTCTTCTAATTCGTCTGATTCAATAGAGATGGTTTTCTTTTCTGGCGAATTCTCTACTTCAGTCAGGTAATCTAGGATATCTTCTCCAGAAGTTCCAGAGCTGATCTTTGGCTGAAGGGATGCCATGTTGAAGAATTCTGGCATGATTTCAGGCAAAATTGGAGCGAACTCTTTTTCCATTACCATGGCTAATCTTTGCCAAGCAGAGAGAATATACCTTCTCTGTGGATCATCACTTCCTTCAAGATGTTCTTTCTGGATGAGGATCAAAGTTTTAATCAATTGCTCAGAATATGGCCTGAAGCAATCCATTCCGATTCAAACAGCTGCGATAGTAAGTCCTTCAATAGCTTGTCCTTTAAATTTTCTGAATTCTTTTGGAACTCTTTGTGAAATCACTGGAAGGAGTTCATTACAACAAGTCTCAAAGTATGGAGCAAATTCTTGTTGGCAGGACTCAGCTACTGATGCGATACAGGTTGCTGCATTTCCTGCTACATAACTGGATTCACTCTTGGTTGCAGCTAAAAGACTTTCGAGGATCTTTTCACAGTAGTGAAGACCAATATCTTGAGAAGCTTTCTCAAAGAAGTTAGACATTGATCCTGAGGCATGAGCCTTCACTCTGTTGACCTTATCATTCATTGCATCATATAGAGCTGGCACAACAGTCTCATGGAAGTTTTCAGTGAGTTGATGCTTTAGATCGGTAGCAAATTGTCCCAAGCAATGTACTGCTGCATGTCTGACTTTTGGATGCTCATGCTTACAATGATCGATAACGGTTGGAATCATTTCGCTGATTTGTTCAATTTCAGATACATATTCAGCAATTTGTGAGAAAGCACTAAGTCCTGCATTCTTGTACTTCCAGTCATCGTTATCAATAGTCTGCTTGACGAGGATACAAACCAATGGGAGCATGATCTCTTCTCCAACACTAGCACAGAGTCTATCAATAACTTCTTTTCCGAAGACAACAGTATCACTTTCAACTTCTTCCTTAACTTGGGCGGGATCTTTAGGGTCGAGCCATTCTTCGGTCAATTCATCATCAATACCAATCATGAGTTTGAAGACGGAGTCAAGCATCTGCTTCACATGATCTTCGTTATCAGAAAGCAAGCTTGGTTGTCTTTCAGCGATGGTTGTCAAGAACTCAATTGGTTGTTGCTTAAGTGTCTCACTGAGGACTTCACTTTCTTCAAAGATCTGGCTGAATACTTGGAACAAATCTGAGAAACTTTCTTTGAAAAATTTGGGCTCAGCATCTGCCATTGCAATGAATTCTACCATTGAATCTTCTAGAACTTTGTAGTCAGCTTCCTTGATTGCTCTCATTGGAACCTTAACCATTTCTCCGAGGAGACCTACAAAGTTTGGTGCATATTTCGGCATTACACTGTTGAGTAATTGACTAACTGCTTGGAGAGAGGCGAGAGCTATATCAATATTCTCATTCTTGAGGGTAACCTCGAACATGGCATATAGATCTGCATCGTTTTCAACAATTTCGTTACTCATGGTTCTTAATGATTCAGTATACACAGTCAATCCAGAGGTGATTTGGGCAGCATTTCCTTCACTAATCAACTGCTTGCAAAGTTTGAAGAGGTCTGGCCAAATATCCTTTCTGTCAGCATCATTAATACTGACAGCTACTTCAGCTGCGAATTCTGCTATCTTGTTTAGAATGACTCCGTTGGTCTCTTTGCTAAATACTTCCATAATTTGTGCTCTAATATAGTCTCTAGTCTCTTGTGTGAGTTTGCTCCATGCGTCTGGCTCTGTTGGCTCGCCTGCAAGAATATCTCTTCTGAGAAGAATAAGTGACATAACTCTTGCCTTAATATCGAGTTCTTCGTCTTTAAACCCTTCTACCATATAAGCGAAGTATTTGTCAAAGTTGTTGAGCTTGACTTGCATAAGCTTAGCTTCTGCTTCCTTTCTAGCATTGTTGTCGCTTGATTGAACTTCTAAGAGGAGCTCTTTTACGATTCCTAGCTCAGTTGCGTCCATTTTCTGTGTTTTTAAATTATTTATTAAAAGATAGGAGTGTTTTTGTAGAGGGGTTTTGGGGTTTTGGGGTTTTGGGGTTTTGGGGTTTTGGGG